TGCCCATAAGTCTCTCCTTGGCACCAAAAACATAGGGTGTCTTCCTCCTCCTCCTCCTCACACTATCCTCCTCACTCTCACTCTCGCTGCTACTGCTCTCGCTGTCGCCATCCGGATCCCTACCGCTACTGAAGCTCCTCAAACTCTCCCGATCTTCCTCATCCTCCCTATGCTCGCTTTCCCTCTCCTTCCGCTTCTGCAAGATGCTCCTGACGCTCAACGAGCTCCTGATAGACGCCGCTGCCTCCCGAACCACCGGTCGAATTTCTTGGAAACTAGACCTTGGAGCTGCCTCTCCGCCGCCACTGGACGAGAGGCGGGAGTGCTGAGAGACGGGAGAAGCGACGAAGGGTTGGGAGTGGTTTCGTTCGGGGGGGTTTGGTAGGGCCAGAAGACAACCAGTCCTCTAGAATGTCCGTCCACCCCTTCCGACCTCTTAGATCGTGATAAGGCATAGATGGACACTCCTGTCCTCCTATAACGACGATATGGTATGGATGGTTCGAATCGTACGGAAAGAGGGGATACCGTTTTCCCTTCTCCGATGGTGAAGGCGCGGAATCGTTTGTGCAGTTCCCTCTCGAGGAGGAGGTCGAGGCATGTGAATGAGGAGTCGGAGGTACAGAATCGGATGTGGAGCCAGAAGAGGCAGCTCGTTGAGAGGTAGGGGGGGAACTTGCTGGAAAGGCTCGTGGAATTGTTCAGGAATTTCTCCAAGAAGGTCTGAAAGGTCTCCGGTTGGGAGAGAGTCATGCATATCTTTGTGGCTTTTGATCAACCGTTGTATCATCTTATGATCAGACGGAAAACGTACTCCAAGTTACCACACGAATCTTGATATTAGGCCGCACAGGAGGTTCCTTCTCTTTCTCCTCTTGTACACTTGGAAGTCTAACGCTCGTAGGGGTAAATAAGTCTTTGGGAGGGAAGTGAGGGAGTGACAAATGAGGGGTATGGCGATTCTTCTGTCTGCCATGCTGGTGGTCGTGTTGCGAATGAGAATGAGAATGCGAGTGAGGGATCTTGAGGGGTAGCAGCGTCCTCAGCTTGATCAGGATCCTCCGCTTGGAGGAGTGAATGTGGTTCCTCTCTCTCACTGCATTATGAAGTAAATTGAACGACGCTAGCACCTCTTCAAATTATCACGCAAAGACCTACCAGTTTCTATACTCTTAGCGTCTGATAAAGGAGACATAGGTCGCTTTTCCCTTTCCCTTTCCTTCCCAGCACCAGACCGCAGGCTCGTCTTGCGCTTCAAAGTTGCCGGTCGACGGTCATTCGCTGGCATTTTGGCAAGAGGTCTATTGTAAGTACTCTAAACCTATGCTGGAGGAGGATATGGGTAAACGGAAGAGGACGTTTGGAGGAGATGCAGGGCAAGGAGTTGCTGTTTGGACTTCGTGAATTTGGAGATGTCCAGGTGAAAGCGGAAGCGTTTTCCCGCCCACTTTCAATGGTGGATTAGTCCCAGAATAACGGCAAGACTTCCAGACCTGTTACTAATTGGCGAAATATATGACGAGATATCTCATTTACTTCACATTGGAAAAAGGTTGATAGATCTAGCAAGAATATATAGATCTACCCAATAATTGGCTAAAAAAGTTTTTTCGTAATGTGATAAAGTATTAATGCCTTTTAACTTGTGGTCTGTCGGGGAGCTAGTTTAGTGGTATAACATTCGTTTCGCATACGAAAGGTCTGGGGTTCGATTCCCCAGTTCTCCATTTTGCTCATTTTTCCAACCCATCTGGCTGTTCAATGGTTTGGTCTGCTCTCAGTTTAGCAGTATCTCTTTTGGTTCCTGCAATATTTCTTCCATTGGGTTAGCACCATATTGCTCTAGAAGGATATTGCAGAACAGGCCTGCCTCCTCTGATCTTGCTTCGTGCTCCATATTCTCTTTTTTTACACCATCTAATGAATACCAAAGTGGTGTTGGTGGTCCAAGTGGTTCTCGAGGGTGGTACAGAGTGGTTTGAGCGGTACGACAAACAGTTATTTAACCAGTCTAAACCCGTGCCGCAAAACGAACCAACAGCTACTCTCGCCATGTCTGAATACACACGTCTCCTTCCCGAGTTAAGGGCATGGTATTCTCGCGGCTGGTCAAACGGTTGGCCCACCCCCTTGACAGAGCATCCGTCATCGAACATGCGAGCGAAGGGTTCCAATCCTCCACCCATCGATGCCAATGTTGCGTTAGTTAGGGACGTGTTCATCGAGAGCACAAATGGGCATAAACTTCGTCTCTTGGTCGTCAGACCAGTGGGCGGCGGTGAGAAGAAGACGGAGGCGCTTGTGAGCTTTCACGCGGGAGGAGGAGTGTCCAAGTCTCCTGAGTGAGCTGCTCCACATTTTATCATGCAAGGAGACTGAGATGAGGCAAGGGTTAATGCCGGCATTTACTCGTTTATGGCGGAACGTGGAATCACCGTCATTTCCGTCGACTACCGTCTGGCACCCGAACATCGACTTCCTGCTTCTCCAGAAGATGCAGATGCAGCGTGGGAGTATGTAACATCTGCAAGAGGAGCAGAGGAGCTGCAGATCGATAGCGATAAACTGGGTTTGCTTGGGAGCAGTTTTGGCGGTTTCCTGGCTGGAGGACTGGCCCAGCGTCTTATTGGAAAGCCAGGAGCAGTACAGCCAAAGCTCATTATCTTGGATGGGTATGTAGAGATTTTACTGCTACTAATTGTGCACCGAAAACTAATACAGAAAGCAGAGCTATGCTTTCTGACCCTACTGTTGCTTTTGGAGGAGAATCACCTCAAATCGCAAAATATTATCATGTACGCTTCTCTTCGGCATACTTGAGAAATATTCGTATTGATTTGGGAACAACTAGGTATGGACCACTGAAAACGACAGGGATGTCGCCGTGCATTTGGACTCTGGGGAAGCCACAAAGAACTCCCTCTCACCACTAAACACTCTTCGCTCCATGACGAAGAGCGACGTCTCCCGCTTACCTGAACACTGTAAGCTCTTGAAAATCTCAAGAACAATTGCACCTGACGATCTCCAACAGTCATAAATATAGCAGAGTTCGACTCTCTCGCATCTGGCGAGTATGAATATGGTCGCCTATTACTGGATGCAGGAGTTGCGACAGACGTTAGAGTGTGGAGAGGGACTGTTCACGTCTTTCCCACCCTCGTTCCCAAGGCGCAAGTCAGTCAACGTGCTATGCTCGACTGGGTCGCAGCCTTTAAGGAGGCTTGCATTGATGTACAAGAACAAGGTCAAGCACACCTCTGATTTCCTTAATTTCTGCTATCAAAAATGTTGCGCGATAAAATACGGCAGAGTCTTTAGTGTATTTTCAGCTTGAGAGTAGACCACCAACGACGCGGATTCGCGAGCGTCTCCAAAAATGGGAACTTTCGCCTAATAATCAATAACGATGTTGCCAAAAGCAACGAACCAACACCCCAAACTGCGCCTTGCAACAATGGCGAGAGAAGCTATGCCAGATTTAACACGTTCCCAGCAGGAGAGCAATAAAAGAGGAAATCCACACACCTGATCCCTGAAGGTGATATAAAGCACACTCTTCCACTGTATCTCTAACTCTTCTTCCTCTTCAAGCCAAGCCTTGTAAGGGCCTTCCGAAACCAATGCCACTTGTTCTGTGTCGTCGGCTAGATGCTCGTTCCGCTTCGAAAGCTCTTTGCCATTTTTGACGCTGATGAACGGGCTAAGGGATTTAAGATACCCTTGCTCAAAGCGCAGGTCGGGGATGGGAGGAAGCGGTATGCGTGATTTATGTGGTCCGGCATGCGGGAGAGGTGGGACAGAGGTGTGGATAGCTTCACCGCGTTTCGATGATGACGAAGGGAAGTGGGAAGGGTCAATGGACGTCACTACACCTTGGGCGTCAATATCCAATACGCCTACGCTACATATGCTAGGAACACTGACTGAGTCGATTCTGCCACAGTGGAGTAGGTCGTCTCGTCGTTTCTTCTGGACCCAGTTCAGCTTCAGCTGTTGTCCTAAATAAGGTTTCAACTCCTTTTTGTGTTCCTTAACTTTCCACCAAGCCAGCCTCAGAACAGACTCTTGTAGCTTTTTGAGTGGAAACTTCAGGCACGATGAACCACCCCGGACATCCCGCTCAGCCAGTTGGACCAACGACCTGGCAAAAATGTGCATGTTTGCTCTTCACCACAGGACTTGTTGCTGATTTTTGCAAACGCAGTCAAAATGGGAGCTTTCATGGGAGGTTGCGTGGGTGCAACCATTGGGTTCCTATTCGGATCCTTCGCCGTCATACGGTCCGCCATTTTCTGCTTTAAGCAATAGAGGAAGAAGCTGACTTGACGCTGCAGTGGTGGTGCCGGACCAAGAGGCTTCATGGGCACAGTCTCTCAGTACATGCTGTCCTCAGCAGCCACCTTCGCAACGTTCATGTCCATTGGTTCTGTAAGTATTGTCCTCCTTTCTCTCCTCGTCCTGCTGAAGATGAGGGTAGGTAATCCGTACCGACGATCCCATGCTGCTTGAGCTGGACCGCCGAAATTTGGGCCGCCTTCAACTCGTCCCTGCCACCAGACCATTTGAAACTGCTTCGCCTTTGAGGGAGCGCATGGATGAGCTGAAAGAGGCACTTAGGAAGCGGGAAAAGTAGCGTTCAGCTGCCTCCGTTAGTTCTACTATGTTCACTGCTCAGTCTCGGCTCATTTAACACGTATTTTTCATCATGCGCTTTTTTGTACATACTAAACCAATTTCAATGGAACTACTTCAAGCAGCATATTAAACCAAGCAAGAAACGAACATTCCTCCTGTTGAAGGTCTCAAATCTTCAAACCGCCAATCATGTTCCCCAGATCGTCAACGTCAGCATTTTCCTTTGCCTTCCTATTCTTCCACTCCTGAGCGAGCAATTTCATTACTTCACCCTGTGCAAGTGCCGGATGCTTCTCCTTCATTCGTTTGAGGTTGTTTGAGAGGAATTCCTGATACTCGCTCCTCTTCCTCGGACTCGAGGATTTCACCTCACCAGCCGCCGAGATTTCGACGAGAAGACCTTGACAGACCCCACAGGCGTGTTTGGCGGGATCTATGGACTTGGAGTGTCTTCCATAGCTATTGCAGTAAAATTTTTCGTTAGCATCTCCTAGAACGAATGAAGAACAGACAACAGACATCTTCTCGCAGTTCGGGTTGGTGCATCTCCACCGATACTTATACCTGATCTCATAGTCGTGTGTCGTTGACACCTTGATATCTTTACGGACCGTCATGATCCTCTTTGCCCACATCTTGAAGGCTGGACCATGAGGCGGATTCTTTTCATTCTCAAAGATCCAAGCAGCAACATGGCATAGCTATCCCCACCGTGGTGTGAATGAGCATGTCAAACTTATTTGTCTCGTTGAAGGAAGCTAGAGGCCGACGCACCTCATGCGAAAGTGTACATCCCAACTTCTCCTCAGAGTCTATCACCTTTGTACTCAACTCAATTTCCACCTTATTCTCCACCGTCAACTGCTCTCCACTGCCTCTCGTAATCCTCTTCCAATTCGCCCTTCCTGCCGTTGTATTCAGCCTTTTATTCCACACCAATTTCAATCCATCAGGCAGTTCCTTTCCATGAGGTTTGAATACGCGTCGTTCCAAATCTTGTATTAAAGAAGTGGCGAGCGCGTCTCGACGTGAAGTAAAGGAAGATTTAGACGGAGAGGCAGGACGGGTGATAGCGGAAGCCGTGGCGCGCTTGCGAGGAGAGGAACGTGTGCGACCTTCATCGTCGGAAGAGGAGAGATCGACGATCACTCGTTCACGCTCGCGTCTCCGCCCATTTTCTTTGTTCTTCTCGATAGCCGAGCGAGGGACTTGTGGAGATGGCGTCGCAAATTGGTCACGAGCACGGGAAGGAGGGGAAAAGATGTTCGAATTGCTACTTGACGAGACAGTGGGAGCGTGAGCAACTCCACTTCGGGGAGAGGGACGTTTCGAGGACGGAGGTGGTGAGCTACTATCTCTTTAGTTTCTTGTTAGGGGTGGTGAGAGAGACGGACTAGGAAAGGAGAGGCGAATCCTGCGGGTCGGGAGAGACGGATTTCTTCTGTGCACGTCTTTTGGGCCAACTAAGCCAAAAAAACTTTTCTGGGAAAATAAATAAAGTACTTCTCTTCCCGTGATGGAGGAGGCGGCGTTTCTTCGATGATGATATCGTCCTGCCCCAACTGCCGCTCTTGTTCCTCTGGCAGCCCTTGCAGAATTACAGGTGATGGAGTCTCGTCATCAGCCTTTATGATCTCCTGAGATTTGGACATGTCCTTTTGCTCGTCTCCACCCCTATCCTCTTCAGCATCGCTATCGCTTCCAGAGTGAGAATCGGAGTCTGTGTCATGAATAGTGATGATCGTCATCCTCCGCTTCTTCCCCTTTCCTGCCTCCTTCGCGCTGATCACTGATGAGTGTGAGTCCATTGAAGTGTAAGGAGACGAACCGGTTTATGAGGGGCTCCCTCTCCTTGCCTTCTTCTTCCGTCAGAGAGAGTTTTTGGATCTGTGGCACTGCGACCTCCATCTCCTTCTCCAGCTTCGATCGTGTGCTAGTAGAGGAATCAGCAGATGGCGCAGCAATTGCCGATTCCTTCGTTTCTCGCAACGTGCGTTTGTTGGTCTTCGATGAAGTTACAGGGCGTCCTAATAGCTGCTCTTCGATATCTTGATCAGATTCGAGCTCAGCCTCCTGATCGTCCTCCTTC